TGGCCAGTAGATGGAATTCGGAGGAGGCTCAATCTGTGGGATCTAATAGGTCTGTTGGAGGTAATTGGCAGCAGGCGGTCTCTCAAGTACCTAGGTCCAATACCATGCTTTATAAGTGACGACTAGCACCTTGAAGCGTATCCGAAGACCAATAGGCAGCCAGTGCAGCTCGCGGAGGATAGGTGTAACGTGGGTGTACCGAGGTACACCCACGATCGCTCGCGCGGCTGCATTCTGGACAAGCTGAAGTCTCCGAATGCTCTTCAAGGGCTGCCCCATGTAGAGGACTCACCTGTGAGTAGATGGAATATAAGGGTTGGGGGAAACAGTGAAGTCCTAACGTGTAGACCAGGGGTCCCCAACCCCCAGTCTGTGGACCAACACCGATCCAAAGCATGCCAGCAATCGGGCTGCACAAACAAGCTCCACCCACAGTATGCAGGCAGCACACAAAACCACACCCACCTTTCTCCATGGAACCGGTCCCTGGTACCCTAAAGGTTGAGGGTCACTCATGTAGAGCGTAAGGAAGATGACCCTAATGGAGTTATGGAAGCTCTGTTGTCAGTGCATCAGGTGCCAATCAAGTGTGTGGAAAGTAAATGTTTACGTATATCCCATGAAAATAAAAAAGAATCAATGAAAGGCTCTTTGGGGGAGTAACCACATTTTATAGTTACACTTGGAAAAATAAAGCTGCATTCTACAATATTCTTTAGTAAACTTGGGGAGGCTTAAATATATCCTCATTTAGGATCGTATCATGTTTGTCTCAATATACTTCCAAAGCAACGTTTAAAAAAAAAAGACCATCTTTCTTTCCCAAATGAACTACAAAGTTTTCTTGTGTTAAATCTATTAAATCATTAAGTTTTACAAAAATTCTTACTATCATTTATTGGAATTCGTGCTTCTTTTTCCTTTTCCTCTTTTGGCAATTCAGCAAAAAGATCCTTCTGATTGAAAACAGAATAATATATCTCATAACAGAATGTATTTTAGATTTAGAAAACAGAATAATAGACTACAAATACTGGAAAAAACACTAGAAATTATTTTTCATACAATTTTACATATTAAAAAAAAATCAGTTTCTGACTATTAGGCTTCCGTGTATATATATACAGTAACAGGTACTTAGAGCTCATAATGAAATGCAGTTTATAATGTGAAAAAAAGAAGTTAACCAGATTTCATCAAACTTTGGTGTGAGATCCCTCTATATTCCAAGACACTATAAAACATATGTATAATGTAGACAAAATTTGTTCCTATGTAATACAAAGCTAATTTTTTTTTAAAAAAAGTCATAGTTGTTAAGCAAGTCATAATGGCCTAATTTGCACAAAAGAAAACCACAATATTGCTTATCATTACTATTACTTCCTGACTTATGACTTTCAATCACTAAACTAAACTGACTTGTGGACCACATTAGCCCTAGGCCCTGGGACTTCAGGAATAAGAGGCTGGCCCTCTTTAGCTGTTCTGAATCATCAGATTTGGTAAAACTGTCTAAATTATAGACAAGATATTTTTTCCGCATACCATCCTCTACCTAATTCACACTCCTTCGGTTATGTTATCTGATTTCTGACCAAGATAATAATAACCCAGTGAGAAACATGCTAATTCTTTCCTGCTTAATTTTGTTCAGAACAGGACTGTAATGTTCTGAGGAGTGGAAGACCCAACCTATGGAAACCATATCTAAAAAAAAAGAAAGAAAAAAAGACTGTACTACAATACAGATTGCATTCTTACACAACCATATGGCATAGAAGAGCAGAGGTTCCATCAAGACGTTTTGCCTAGTTCTAAGGACACACAATTATTTAAATATGAAGTGGGGGAATGGGGGCCTTAGAGGGTGCGAGTGTGCTCCTCTCAACCCCTCTTGAAAGAAGCCATGTCCCTTTCTAGGCTTACATGTTAGCTATACGATTCCAGGAAGACATGTACCTGAATTTAAATAGGCATCAAGGATGGCAAATTAGGCTGCAGTGATTGTGTTTGCATCCTACTACAGAAGTTTATCCTATAATCTTTTGGTGGGCATGGATGCATCTGCCTCTTCATGGAAATACATACACCTAGGTTCAAAGTAGTTTTCTGCCTTGCATCCAAATAGCTGCATGTCCTTCGCTAGTTCCATAAAGGAATATATAAACCATATATTAACCTCGTCATCATCGAAGAGTCCTGTCCCACCACTGAAGAGTCCATCTTTAGAACCAAACGGTGAGAAATCTTCATCAGTTAGCTTGGGAGGTTTAAAGATATCATCATCTAGAATAAGATAAATGTTTTTTGTCAAAGGAGCTAAAAATAAGATAGTTATGAAGTTCTCAGATAGATAGTAAGATACCCTGTTTCCCTGAAAATAAAACCAGCCCGGATAATAAACCCAATCGGGCTTTTGAGCGCATGCACTAAAATAAGCCCTCCCCAAAAATATTGCAACACAGCAGCAGCCATGAGGTGACCATGCTTGCTGCTTCCTGCACCTCAAAAATAATAAGACCTTCCAGAAAATAAGGCCAAGCACTTATTTTGGTGGTCAAAAGAAAATAAGACCCTGTCTTATTTTTGGAGAAACACAGTAGTATGATTAGGAGCAAACTTTCCCTACTGAAGTTTTCCATTACTAACCATTTAGTAACTAACCATTACTAACCACACTTACTAACCATTCCACAGAAGATTAGGGCAAAGGAGGCACAGAAGCTGTGTTTGTACAATCTCCTGGATAATTTTTGGAGATTCAAAACTCAAAATTTCTTTCTATCTAATTAACTGAGAATGTAAAAATGTCATTTTTTTCAGCGTCTAATAAAGTTTCCATAGCACTTAAAAATGCACTGAAAGGGGGTTTATATGAGAGAAAAGATTTTAAAGCCAACAAAATAGCTGAAATATAGGACAAACAAAAGCCTCTCACACTTTTCAGTATGACCTGACTTGTTCTGAATATAAATAATAAAATGAATGCACAATATTTCCAAGGCACAATACTATTCAACAGTAAGGACATCCATTACCTTAGAAAATGGCTAACTCAGGATTTATTTTTATCCTGCACTTATTTTTATAACTCAAGGTGGTGAAAATACCTAAATCATCCTTCACCCTCCTAAATGAGGTGGCTCTCATGTCTTTCTCCTCTCGTAAGAAATGCAGCCCCTAAGGCCAACCCATCCCCACCCACCCACAACTTACCATCTGAGTCAGCATCAACATCTTCCTTAATAGTGACTGTAGTCTTATTTTTCGAATCTGTTCAGGAAGAAAACATTACATATGAAACATTTAAAAGTGCAATGAACAGGAAACTTATCATCTGCCTGGTTTTTCATTTTTTCCTACAGGTTTAAGCTCTCTATTTTTCCCCCCACTGGCTTTGCCCCTTTAACCATGATTCCATCATTCCTTCCTTCCTTCCCCCCTCCCTCCCTATGCCAAACTGCAATTTTATGGCTTTTCATGGCCACCCTATGATGAATACGGGCTATGATTACATACACTATCTGATCTTAAAATGGACCACTACAGAGCTGACTTATCGATTCTGCCTAGAAACATCTTCTTGACCTACTCTACACACCTTCTTGAATTAGCTGGAATAACTGAGTCACATAATGATTCCAAAATTTGGAATGGATTTATCCCTGGCTAGATTTAATGCCCTCCGAACAGCTGTTACTGAAAAGATATATTGAAAGATCCTTTCTGGACAGGTACTGGGTCCATGTGGTAGAGGAGTAATTGAAATGATGGAAGATGTTATTTTGTATTGTTATCATTTTTCCAATATTCAACAGGAATCGCCATTGTTTACTAAATATCCTAATCATTCTGACTTGTTTTCTCTTAAGTTGTTATTATCAGATCAGTCTGATTTTATTTCTTTCAGCCAAAATTGGTATACAGATTACTTACTCTCTGGAAACAAATACTGTGAGGGAAAGACACCCCGTGTGTGTGTGTGTGTGTGTGTGTGTGTGTGTNACCTCGGAAGGATGGAAGGCTGAGTTAACCTTGAGCCGGTGAGATTAGAACCGCTGAACTGCAAATAACAGTCAGCTGTAGTGGCCTTCAGTACTACACCCTAACCACTGCACCACCTCGGCTCGATGAATAAAAATATAATGTTCTCAGTTTTACAGTCATCCTAGCACCTTTTATACTGTAAAATGTTGTTTTCAGCTGTCACATACCTCTTCTTCCTCATCTTCAAACAAAGACAATGCAGTTTTTGTCATCACTTTAGTAGATGATGAAGTTGAGTTCTTCACCCCTATAGGCTGATGTGAAGAAAACAAGTCCTGTTGCAAAAGAAAGCCACAAGTAGCATTTTTAAAGATATGCATTTACCCATTTGGAACATTTTAAGCAGCCAACTGAATGGTAGAAGAAAATGGCAAATGGAAGAAAGGCTAGGACTTTGAGTCAATTTCTGTTCTTGTAGAAATATAAATATAAATATAATATAATATAATGTAATGTAATGTAATGTAATGTAATGTAATGTAATATAATTAATATAGTATAGTATAGTATCATATAGTATAATATATTACTAAATAACTGTTCATGCAATAGCATCCTTGTGCTGTCAAACACTTTAGTAAAGATACTGAGCCCAAGAATTGATTCCCTATCTAGCAGATGAAATAATGTTAAAAGAAAACACTCCTGAAACACACTTCCACAATCCCTGTTGGTCAGGTGCTCTTCTGAACTCTGGCAGATATAGGTAACAGGAAGGCCAGTTCCTCCACTTGAGAACCTGCTAATCAAGTTACATGTCAAAGAGATTTGAGTTGTGAGTCTCTAGTTTGCAGCAGATATTTGATTGTGCTAGAACACAACATGAGTCCTTTTAGCCTCACACCAGTAGAGACTCTTTTCTCACTGTTTATAATGAAATGTTCACCTACATTTTTCAATTTAACAGAATTACAGAATAACGGAGTTGGAAGGAGATCTTCTAATTTGTTGTGGCCCACCAGCTGCCAGCAGAGCTGGCGGCAGACTCGGACGATGAGGAGGTTGGGGAGGAACCTGGGCCAGTTCTGGACTCTGGGGAAGGCTCTGATGGATGCTCTGTGTCGGATGCAGAGATAGAGCCAGGGCTGTCCGACATTTCCCAGCCACCAGAGAGGCAGCTGCCTTTGAGGGCTGATATGAGTGAAAAGGAAGAAAAACTGGGGTCTATCCAAATGCACATATGCACAGAGCAGTTAGGAGAGGAGAACAATGGATGACAAGGAGTCGACTTGGGAAGCAAGGCACATGTGGGCGTGAATGTTCCCTCCCTGGCTGGGGAATAAATAGAAGGAAAGGAGAGTTATTGTCATAGGAGGCAACAGTTCGTATTTCTGAAGATTTCGCTCATTGTGTTTTGTGCCACAAAGACTGCTTGGCAGAACTTAATTTGCAGCCTTTTGGCTGGGAGCTCACGACCTTGCAATTATCGTAAGGAACTGATAAGGTCTGTTACTGCAGATAACTCATTGAAGAACTATTGCCTGGACTTTTCAGTGAGTGAATGCAATTAGCTCACAAGAGGTAAATAAAGATTTTTTTTTTGTGGCAAGGAGTCTGTTTCTTGCTTCTGCTAAGGCTGGGTCAGAACATAATCCAACCCCCTGCTCAAGCAGGAGACTCTATATCATTCCAGATAAGTGGCTGCCCAGTCTCTTCTGATGAAGCACCTGCAACTTCTGAAGGCAAGCTGTTCCATTGCTTAATTATTTTCACTGTTAGGAGATTTCTACTTAGTTCTAGATTATTTCTCTCCTTCATTATTTCCCATCCATTGTTTCTTGTCTTGCCTTCTGGTGCTTTGGAAAATAAGTTGACCCCCTCTTCTTTGTGGCTCAAATATTGCAATACTGCTGTCATGTCACCCCTAGTCCTTCTTTTCACTAGACTAGACAAACCTCCTAATCATCTTTGTTGTGCTTTTCTGCACTCTTTCCAAAGTCTTTGCATCTTTTTTTACAATATGGTGCCCAAAACTGGATGCAGTATTCTAAGTATGGTCTTACTAAGGCTTTATAAAATGATTTAATACCTCATGTATTATCCCTGTTAATACAACCTAGGATTGCATTGGCTTTTTTGGCTGCTGTTGCACACTGCTGGCTCATATTAAATGATTGTCCACTAGGATTCCAAGATCCATCTCCCAGTTACTGCTATTGAGCCAGGTTTCACCTAATCTGTTTCTGTACATTTGATATTTCTTGCCTATGTGTAGAATCTTACTTTTCTCTATATTGAATTTCATTTTATTACATAGGGCCCGGTGTTCAAGTCCGTGAGATCCATCTGGATCTTGAGCCTATCTTCTGGGGTGTTGGATATTCCTGCCAGTCTAATGTTGTTTGTAAATTTGATGAGTTCCCCTTCTATTCCCTCATCTAAATCATCGAAGAAGTTGTTGACGAGTATTCGGCCTAAAATTGAACCTTGGGGTAAACCACTGCTTCCCTTCTTTCCATGTAGATATAGTTCCATTGGGGACTATATATGGAATAAGTCGACTACACTGAGTTGCACGTTGAGTGCAATGTAGATATATCATTTCTAGAAATCTTAGTAATAGCAATAGCACTTAGACTTATATAACGCTTTACAGTGCTTTACAGCCCTCTCTAAGCAGTTTACAGAGTCAGCATATTGCCCTCCAACACTTCTGGGTCCCCATTTTACCCACCTCGGAAGGATGTAAGGCTGAGTCAACCTTGAGCCTGGTGAGATTTGAACTACCAAATTGCAGTCAGCCAACAGTCAGCAGAAGTAGCCTGCAGTACTGCACTCTAACCACTGCGCCACTGTGGCTCAGTAATCTGAGTTCCGTGGCCAGTAATCATAACAATTCATTATACTTGTGGCCTTCAAGGATCATGATAACATTGCAAAGGAGAAACACTCATTCCCAGCTACAGTATTTCAATAAGGAGGGGGTACGTACAATATTTAACTGTAATTAAATGATTAAGAACTTACTTCAGAATCCTCTTCATCAGAGAATAGGCTTTTCTGACTCGTGAAAGGTGTTGGAGTTAAATTTTTAAACCTCTCAGCAGAAGAATGTTGACTCTTAAAAACACACAATATACATATTAATAAACCTGAAAGGTGTCAAATGTAAGTAGTCCATTTTTGAAATTACTTCCAATAATTGATTTGTGAGAACTTAGAGATTTTGGTGCGCAATATTCAGTTCTGGCTTTGCATTACTGCAATACATTTGATCTCTAATAAACTATACCTTTCTCAACAAATGGCATCAAGGATCATTTTTATTTAGAGGTTTAAACTTGTGGCGGGTCTGACACTATCTGCTTTTTACTAACTGCAAAATATTTGGTGGATTTGGAAGCATGAGGGGTGGGGAGGGGTTAAAGTGACTCACATCTAAGTTCACTGGATGTTGAAACTGAAGCAAGTCACATTATAAACTAATCCTCAATGTAGCACTTAAAAAAAAACAGTTTGAAAAGAAAAATTACATTTTTTGCAATGTTGGCACTGTCAGGCTTCTCCCTGAATAGATCCCCATCATCATCAAATAAATCCACAGAAGGTTTGGCTATATAAAAATAAGACACAAAGAGTTCACTTTAGGATCAGACTTATCAGCAACAGGGGAAGTCAATTAACAAAATAGTAATACTGGTAAAACACTTCATACATATGTATATAAAAATAATTAAGGAGGGATCTCACACCTAATTAAAATACTTTATTGTGTACTATATTTTACTGAATACTTCCACACATCATTAAAGATATACATTAAATGTAATATGCAATAAAGTTTTATTAATGTGACAGGAAACTACAGAAAAATAGCTTATATTTCACTATCAAGGGCACCGTCACAAATTAAGATAAAGATATTTTAAGCTCTTTTAATTATGATAAAAGAGAAGGAATTAACATGTTTTAGTTTTAGAAACTTACCTATAACGCAACTACTCTTACTGGGTTCAAAATTCTCATCTTCCTCAAACAGACCAGGAGCTTCATATGGCTTAGAAGACTTATCTGTGATTGATTCTGTCAACTTTTTATTCTCTTTTTCCAGTGGAACTGAAGAAGGACTAAATACATCCTGCATACCTATGAACAGGGTTTAAAAATAGTCATGTGATACCTAGAGCTGGAGTTCTACAAATTGTTTCGCTTAAAAACATTTTCAAACTCATTGGAACAATCACACTTAAGAATTTGTCTTATAAATCATTTGGCATAAAATTCACTGTTCAACTTCCAAATATACCAATATGTCACTCTATAAATGAACAGTACCATTTCAACTAGAAGTCATCTTATTTTTAACAATATTTCTAGTAAGAGGTTTCTAAAGCAAAGCAGTTCTGCCAGAAGTAGCAATGATAAAAATTTTAAATGTATATTCAGATCTTTAGCACTGTTAAATCAAGATTATTTTAATCTCTCTGTTGGCCAGCAGGAAGTATTTTGAGTGACAGAACATGATTTTAAATCCAAAACAGGTATGCAAGATAATTATCTATTCCTAGTTTAATATTAACCATTATAGAATACTTAACGAGAAGGAAGTGAAAGTAACAGAAACTTGGTAAAAAAAAATGACCATATAATGCTGGTTTTTACTTTATTTTAGAAAACTCTAAAACTGAGTGAATTCAAATATGTATCCCAGACTCGAAAATCAAATATTTAAAATATTGAGTAACAATAAATTTCATAACAAGAAAAGTAATAGGAAGAAACACATTTCCCTTAAAAAGAAGGTAATAAAAGAGGAAAAGTTAACAAATAATAAAAGTTAACAATTCCAATGAGGAAAAATAGAGGACAAAAAAAAGCCAGCGCAGCCTCTTTCAAAAAATAAAGTCAGTTTTTTGAAAGAGAAACACGAGTTAGAAATGTTGATATGGTTACAAAAAAATTAAACGCAGGAACAGAGGCACAATTTCTAAATTTCAGATAATAGCAATCACATTTTTTATGTGTTATTAGACATCATCTTATTATGTCCATGAGAGCAAAAAGATCTAAATGGTTGGAGGATGTAGTAACTATATATGCCAGAACATTTCCAGATGAGAGCTGTTCAATCTCCAGAAATGTTATAAACATGCAAGGGCTGTGGCAGCACAACAGTTAGAATGCAGTATAGTAGCCTAACATTGCCCTCTGCCAGGAGTTCAATCCTGACTGGCTCAAGGTTGATTCAGCCTTTCATCGTTCCAAGGTCGGTAAAAAGAAGACGCAGCCTGTTGGGAACAACATGCTGAAGTTGTAAACCACTCAGAGAATGCTGTAAAGCACCATGGTGTGGTATATAAGCAGTAGTGGGATTTAAGTAATTTAACAACCGGTTCTCTGGCCTAACGACCAGGTAGATGGGCATGGCCATGACCGTGTGGGCATGGTCAACTCAATGTCACTCAGGACGATGGGTGCTTCGCCTTAGCTGTTACAGTGTAATAAGGGTTAACCAGAGAGGCAGTTTCTGTAAGTAGGGCAATAAAGATTAGGCTAGAAACAAC